CTGTGGTTGCTCCTCTTTTGCCCCACACATGTTGACTCACTGCTGCCTGAGTGGCACTACTCTGTGCTTTGCTCAGCTCCTTCCCAGCTGCAGGAGACTGTCCCTGGCTGCTCCCAGCCCTGACACTCCCAGCTCCCAGGGGGTTCCCTCTTCTCCAGGTTTAGCAACCTGGGTGTGCTCCATGTCACCAAGAAGAATATGATGGAGATCATGAAGGAAAAGCTGAAGCAGCAGAAGATGCGCAACAGGAGCCATCTGCTGACGGGTGAGGGCAGCCTGGGGACTCAGCGGATCTCAGCCCCGTGGGGTGACAGCTGGGGGGCTGGGGTTAGCATGGGGCTGGAGTGTGTGGGTGGAGCGACCTTGAGCACCATCCCCCCACCCATCCTGACGGTATCTCCCCCTGCCCTGGCAGAAGCGGAGCTGCGTGAGATCGAGCTGGAGGCAAAGGAGCTGAAGAAGGTGATGGACCTGAGCATCGTGCGGTTGCGTTTCACTGCCTACCTTCGTGACAGCAGCGGGAACTTCACACTGGCCCTCCAACCTGTCATCTCGGACCCCATCCACGACAGCAGTGAGCATGGGGCTAGCCCTGGGAGGGTATGGGGCAGGGTAGGGTAAGAAGGTGAGGGATGTGCTGTCTGCACAGTGGCTCTGAACACCTCCTCTTGCTCTGCAGAGTCCCCAGGAGCTTCCAACTTGAAGATCTCACGAATGGATAAGACAGCAGGCTCTGTACGGGGAGGGGACGAAGTCTATTTGCTGTGTGATAAAGTTCAGAAAGGTAAAAGCCATTCCCTCCAGCCGAAACCTTCTGGAGGGGCTGTGGCAGGAGAGACCTGGGGCCCCTGGGTGGCCAGGGGTCTGTGTCCCTGGAGCCTGGCTGGGGCAAGGAGACAGGCGGTGCCAGCGCCCTTCTCTCCCCAGATGACATCGAGGTGCGTTTCTACGAGGATGACGAGAACGGCTGGCAGGCTTTTGGGGACTTTTCCCCCACAGATGTGCACAAACAGGTACGGGGGAGACAGGGAGTGTCCTGCTGTGCTCCAAGGTAGACAGGTGCCCTGTGGGGTAAGGGTGCCCTGTCCCCAGCTCCAGGGACGAGCAGGACCTCATATCCATGTGTCCTGCCCACAGTATGCCATCGTCTTCCGCACGCCCCCCTACCACAAGCCCAAGATCGACCGTCCTGTCACAGTCTTCCTGCAGCTGAAGCGGAAACGGGGAGGAGATGTGAGCGACTCCAAGCAGTTCACCTACTACCCAGTGGTGGAAGGTGAGCATCCCCCAGGCAGGCCAGCATGTCTCCTCCCACTGGCTCTGCCCCTCACCCCTCTGCCCCTCTCTCCTTGCAGACAAGGAAGAAGTGGAGAGGAAGCGCAAGAAAGTCCTGCCTCAGTTTCCCCAGCACTTTGGCGGGGGCTCGCACATGGGGGGTGCTGGTGGGGGTGCTGGGGGCTTCGGCTCTGGAGGAGGTGAGTGGGGATGCCTCTTCCCCCTCCCTGCCTGAGTGGCTAAGTGGCTTGCTGCTCCCCTCTGCTCACCTGTCCTCCCCCTTGCTCCGCAGGTGGGAACCTCAGCTTCCCCTACTCCCCTGGGCTGCCCTACAACAGCATCTACTCACCTGGCCCCCACGCTGTGGGGAGCTACCAGGGGGGTGTGCAGATGAAGGGCCCCGAGGCAGAGGGGCCCGGGAGCGACAGGCAGGCACCCGCAGACAGCACGTACTGCAAGGAGCTGCAGAAGCACGGTAGGAGGGGCTGAGCTTGAGGGAGGTCTGAGGGACATCACTCAGGAGAGGAGGCATGGGTTGGGGGCCTTTTGGAGTGCTGCACTCCACTGCTGGGGGACATAGGAGGGTGGATGGGACTGCTGCTCCCAGAGGTGACATCCTGCTTTGCCTCCCAGCCCAGCTGTGCCAGCTCTGGATGCTGGCACTAGCCCGTCGCAATGCCCATGCCCTGCTCGACTACTCGGTCACTGCTGACCCCCGTATGCTGCTGGCAGTCCAGAGGCACCTGGCCGCATCACAGGACGAGAATGGAGACACGTGAGCACACGAGGGGTTTGGAGGGAGAGTGTGGTGGCCTTGTGGGGCGTTAGAGCCATTATGGGGGCTCTGGGTGTGGCAAGGAGTACCTGGAGAAGCATGGAGCTGAGCTAGGGACCACTCCACTCTCTCTACAGGCCTTTGCACCTTGCTATTATCCATGAGCAGACGGCTGTGATCAAGCAGCTGATCGAGGTCATTGTTAGCATCCCCAGCCAGCAGATCATCAACATCTCCAATAACCTGCAACAGGTACATGTTTCCCAGAGCAGCCAGTTCTCCTCTACCTGGAAGTAGTTCCCCACTCCTGTTTCCCAACCCTGGGGTCTCCTGTTGCTGCTCCTGCTGAGGGGAGGCTGCAAACCTGAGCAAGGTGCAGCCCCACTGGAGAGAACTTGGCTCCTCTTGTGAGCGCTGCTGAGGGTGTGCTGCTGTCCCGCAGACGCCGCTGCATCTGGCAGTCATCACCAAGCAGCCCCAAGTGGTCCAGCTCCTGCTGCAAGCCCGCGCTGACCCAACCTTGCTGGACCGCTACGGCAATTCCCTGCTGCACCTGGCACTCCAGGCTGGCGATGAAGAGATGCTGAAGACACTGCTGGCCCATCTGGGCTCGGCTGCCCCTTACCTGCTCCACCTGCCCAATTTCCATGGTGAGTGGGGCTGAGGAATGATGGGCAGCACCATTGGTGCTGCCATGGGCTTTGCAAGAAGGCTGCTGAGTCTCTCCCCATCTTGCAGGCCTCCTGCCTGTGCACTTGGCTGTGAAGGCAAAGAGTTTGGCCTGCCTGGACCTGCTGGTCAGGACGGGAGCAGATGTGAATGCAGTGGAGAGGCAAAGCGGGAGGACCCCACTGCACCTGGCTGTGGAGATGGAGAACTTGAACATGGCTACCCACCTGGTGAAAAAGGTGTGGGGTCTCTGGTGTGGTGGTGGCTGTGGGACAGGGATGGAGTACAGCCTCCTACAGGGCCTCAGCAGAAGTGGGGGCTCCCCTGAGGTCTTCAGGTAACAGAATGTAAGAGGAGCAGTGCCCAGGCAGCCCATCATCATGGCCTCTTACCTTTCTTGTTAGCTGGGAGCAGATGTCAACAGCCGGACTTTCGCCGGGAACACCCCCCTGCACCTGGCTGCTGGCCTGGGCTCCCCCACCCTCACCAAACTGCTCCTCAAAGCTGGTAAGGCACTGCCCTTCCTCCTTTCCCTTCCCTCTCCGTAGCCCTGGCTGCCTGTGCTGAGGGGTGCCAGGCATAGGGCAGACCCCTAGGCCCACCTTCCCTTTTGGGGGCTCATTCCACTCTTCCCTAACAGGGGCAGATGTTCTGTGTGAGAATGATGAGCCCATGAGCTTATCCTCATCGGAAGCCAGCAGCGACACAGACACTGACCCTGATGAGCAGGAGCTGGCCATGGAGCTGGGGGAGCCAGCCCTGGCTGCAGAGCACAGCACCAACCCCAGGCTCCCCACACAGGGGCACTGGCAGGCAGGGCACAGGCAGCGCCGCTGCCACACATCCCTGGACCTGACTCGGAGCCAGAAGGTGTGTGGAGCTGTGGGGCAAACTCCCAGGGAGCATTTCTATGTGGGCCATGGCATGGATGGGGCAGAGCTCCAGGAGATGCTCCTGTGAGGATGCTGGGGCCCCTCCGTGGCCTGGGAAGATCATAGCGTGAGAAGGTGATGGGGGATCTGGGCAGTGCTTTATGGGATGCTGACATCTGTGTCTGCAGGTGCGGGAGATACTGCTGCAGGCCTCCCAGCAGGGACCCAAGGCGGAGCTGCCTGGCACTCCCCAGCCAGGTGAGTAGCCCTTTTCCTCTCGAAAGCACCTCACACTGGCAGAGCAGCACTCTCCTGGGGTCAAGGATGGGCAGCATGTGATGGAGGCACCTCTCCTGTGCAGGGAAGGTCCTGTCACTGGACAGTGAGGCACTGCAGGGGCTCGAGCAGCTGCTGAACCAGGACTGCAGTGGGTCAGACTGGATCGAGCTGGCCAAGCGCCTGGGACTCTGCAGCCTCGTGGAGACCTACAAGGACACCCCCTCGCCCAGCGTCAGCCTCCTGCGCAGTTACGAGGTCAGTGCCTGGCTGGGGTGCCCCTGTCCCGCCTTCCTGCCCAGCCATCAGCCCCGCTCAGTGCCCTCTCTCCACAGCTGGCAGGCGGCAGTCTGGGGGGACTGCTGGAGGCGTTGGACTCTATGGGGCTCCACAGCGCTGCGAGGATGCTCCACAAAACTGAGGCACTGGAGAAGCTGCAAAGCACAGGTACAGAGAGCATGGGCTGGGCGTGCAGAGGGTGTCACTGCTGCCCCCTGACGCCCCATCGCTAAGAGCACCCGGGGATTCCTTTGCAGAGCTGAAGGAAGACAGCGCCTACGGCAGTGAGTCGGTGGAGGAGGAGCAGGAGCCCACGGTGGCCTTGAAGCCGGGGGGTGAGCTGCCCCCCAGCCAGCAGCCACAGGTGCACTGAGGAGCCAGGAGCCCCTGTGCCCACACACTGCCCTCTGCCTTGCCCACACAAGTGCCTTCTGGACTTGGGGTCCCGGCTGCATGGACTGAGGGGGAAGGGACACAGCCGGTTCCTGCCCCTCTCTACTCTTATTTAATGGTCCCTCTTCTAAATAAAAATACATAGTTTCCATTAGCCTTTGCCCTCCCTGTCTCCAGCCCCAGCCATGAGTCAGTGGGCACTAACCCCGCTGAGCCCTGCCTGGGTCTGGGAGTCTGGCAGCGAGGAGACAGCTGCCAGCCCTTCCTCAGCATCCCTCTGTGCCAGGGCTATCCCCAGCGTTGGGGAAGAAACCACAGCACACGCAAGAAGTGAAGAGTAGTTTTACTTCAGTAACTGAGAGAAGAAGCTGTACAAAGGTTTTTTTTCTCCCCCAAGCCACCTGGGGCAAGGGGGGATTTTTTTTATTTCCTTTTTTTTTTTTATTTTTTTATTTTTTTTATTTTGTTTGTTTGTTTGTTTTTGTTTTTGCAATAGCCTCAAAAGAGCAGAATAAAAAGTTTGACACATTCGCAAAGTCAGTGCTGAAACCAGCCAGGTCCCAGGCAGCTGAGAACTGCGTGTGTGCTCCTGCTCACAGCCCTTCTGCTGTCTCCAGACCCCTTCTGGACAATCCTGCAGCCATGCTCCATCACCTGCACCTTGCTCTAGACAAGCATCCTTCGGCCCACCCTGGAGTGGTGGGAGCCGCCCCAGCCTGCCGCACTTCTTGGCAAGGAGGGAGCCCGTGGCTGAGGAAGGGGCTGCACCACTGCTGTTGCAACCTGAGGACCTTGAAATGCTGCAGACCAGGCTTTCCTGGCAGCCTGAGGCCCCAGCCATGCATTGGAGAAGAGGTGTGGGAAGGAAAGCTGGCTCCAGACTGTGCCAGACCCATAGGGCAGTGAGGACCCCCATGTCAGCCCTGGCTCCAGGAGTCACTGCCCCACTGGGACTACTTATACACTGCTGCCCAACATGCCCCAAGGATGGTGATCACTCCCACATGGTGCAAACAGGGCCTGTCCAGGCTGCTGGGTGGGAAAAGGGGAATGGGGGTCATGAAGCACCGGCCCATCAGCCTCTTATGCAGCCACAAGTGCAGCAATGGATGCTGCCATCCCAAGGCTGCTTCCTTGTTGCTGGCAGCCACAGGGCTGTTTCCCCAAAGGGTTGCTGGTGCCAAAGTGGAGCTGGGGAAGCAGGCAGCAGCAGCACACACAGGAGCCCATGCTCAGCTTGCTGCAGGGCAGGGAGGAGCTGGATCTCCCCTGGTCCTTGTAAAAGCCTCTTTCCCCCAGAATGCAGTGCCTACAGGAAATGGCTGAGTTTCTGTTGTTTGTTTTTTTTAAACAGTTCCCAAAAAGCATCAAAAGTAGCCCCAAAAAACCCTCCCTGGTGGTCAGCTCAATCTGGTACTAAAAAGTGCAAAACTGTATCACAAAAACTGTTCAAAAGTTGTAAGAAAGCGGGGAGGGTGCAGAGGTGACTGAGGTGGCAGGGAGGGGACCAGGTGCCATTGCCCTGGTTTCCCTGGCCACCAGCCCCAGAAGAGGGGACAGGCTAGGACTGGTCCCCTCCCATCTACCCTCATGGCACGACGGAGCTGGAGAAGAAGCAGCCGCTGGCTTTGTTTTGCTGCATTTTTGTCTTTTTTTTTAAACCATTGAAAAATTGAGCCCAGCAGGTGGGTTTCAGTTGTTCCCCTTCCCTGGGGCAGAAGAGTAGGTCCTGCAGCCAAATGCAGGACAAGGAGGGGCAGGAACAAGTCTGATGAGGCCGATGGTGTGGGCAGCTCCTGCAGGCAAGGACCGGGGACTGTCCTGCTCTGCCACCGTCTCCGGTGGAGGGGCCGTGGCCCTGCATGGCTGGTGCTGGCGGCTGCAGAAGGGCTGTCGCCCCCTCTAGCTCGTGCCGCAAACAGATGGACACATGCAGGGTCTCGGCGGGCACACGGCCTCCACCCCCGTGCTGGGGAGGCAGGAACGGAGCTGCAGCGCAGGCGGCCGATGCCCCTCACTTAGGACTTCTGAGGGTGGCCGGGGGACTGACGGCCAGTGCGCTCCGAGACGTTGCGCTTCACCTTGGTGGCCGTGCTGGAGGGCTCTGCGTTGAGCGAGGGGCTGGAGCGGGATTTTTTCAGGCCATCGTCCTCCCCACCCGCTGTGTCAAACAGGGTGGACTCAAATGCTGCCAGGTCCTCGGAGCCAGCCTTCAGCTTGGCCCGCAGCAGCATGGCGTAGGTGCCATAGCGGGATTTCTGGGGGGCACAGTGCAGCAGAGAGAGAGGTTGGCAAGCTGGGTACTGCCCCCTGCACAGCATCCCCATGTGTCAGGGGGTGCTTCGTGGCCCCACCCACCCCAGTCAGCCTCCCCGGGCTGGGGAACGCTCGTGACCCAGTGACATGAGCAATGCAGTGACACGGTGCAATTCGTCTGACAGGGGTAGGTTAGACCCATCACTCAGGAAGGCCAAGCAGGCAGGGGCAGAGGGTGTGAGGGTAAGGGGGTATCTCCCAGCTCACCTCAAACTCCAGGTACTCTTCCTTCTGCTTTAGCTCCTCATACTCCTTGCCCTTCACCTTCTTCTCAGGCAGCGAGGAGCGATGCTCCAGCAGCTCTGCTGACATCGTCTTAAACTTGGTCTCATGGTTCTTCACCTGCTCCTCCTGGGGAAGGGTGACACCACATCAGTGCCTTGGTCTGTCGCCCTGGTAGTGTGAGCTGGCCAGGGACAGAACAGGTTTTTCCCCTTCTGGGTCCAGCCAAGATCTCAGCTTCTGCTGTTGGGTTTGATTTTTTTTTCTAAATAGCAGGCAAAATCACAGGCCCTTGAGGGCAGTCTGCTCTCACCTTGTGGAGGGGCTGACTGCAGTCTTAAAGCAGAAGAATTTAATCCCTCTAAAACTAGGCTGGTGTTTTTTTTAAATCCTTTCTGCTCTATGAATATCTGACCTGGCATGCACGAGTGCCAGCTAATCCCCCTAGCCAGTTGCCTTTCAAAGTCCCTGGCAGGACCCTGCAAGTTGTGGTGTGGGACCATGTTCTCTTCCATGGTCTAAACATTGCTTGACTCCGCTTCCAACTCTGGGGAACAAGACCTCACTGTCTGCCCACAACCTTAGTATCCCTTTGCTCTGTGTCTCCCTCGGCGCTGCACCTCACTGGGAGGCAGTGGGGAGCATGGCACCACATAGGTCCCTCCTCAGGGAAAAGTGCCACCAGGAGACCCAGGGGGCTTGTCCCATGGTCACAGTTGCCCCCCCACCATGGCCCACCTGGGAGAGCCTGGTGCACGAGCTGGGCAGCAGCGGGCGGCTGAACTTCTTCTGGGAGCCGATGGCTGCGGGGAAAGGGGGTGCAGAGAACATGGCTGCCACCACGTTGATGCGTGTGATCCACGAGTGCATCTGTTCAGGGTTCCTAAGGAAAAAAGCCATATCACAGATGGGCTGTCTGTGTCAAAGACAGAGGCAACTGCCCTGCAGACAAGATCCAGGTCCCCCAGACCCGGCCCTGGCCAGCCATGACACCTGGGACTCTGCCCCCAGCAATCTTGCACCCAGCAGGGTAGGAAGAAGAGAAGTTGGACAAAGCTCAGCACTAACACTGGGTCCCTTTCCTTCCAGAAAGGGCCAGGACCAGAGAGAGCAATGTGGCCCTAAGCTCCATCCCACCCTATCCCCAAGTCAGATGAGCCCTTGCATCCGAGTGTGGGGCCCAGCCAGTGATCCTGAGAGACTCACTGTGCTTGGAAGAGGAAGACCCTCCAGTCAGCTGTCCTGAGGTAGAAGACATTTGGTCGCTTGCTGTAGTCAGACGCCCGTGTGGCAAGCGAATGGTGGATGCTAATAGCATTCTTCAGCTCCTCTTCTGCCAGCGCCTTCCCTGGCTTATATTCCTCCTGCAAATCATGGGGAGTTTCAGAGCCAGCTCAGGGATGCACCCCACCATGAGTCAGCTCTATGAGGTTTCAGGTGTTGCAGACTAGTGCTGGCAGTGGCAGGGCTTGGAGATCACCCTCCACCAGCCAGCTGTGGACTCTGCTTCCAGCTCATCCTACCCCCCTGGGGAGAGGCTGAACAACCTGGGTGCATTGGCTTGGTAACAGCACAGGGGCTGTTCCCTACTGCCCACAGCTGGGCAGCATGTGTGCCTGCAGGGAACTGGATGCACAGCCCAACCTCCCACCCAGGGCAAAGACCCCATTGCCTCCTGTCTCCCCAGCCAAGCACCCTGCATGCAGGGCTCTCAGTTAGCAGCTGCTTTCACTGCTCAGGCTGAGCCACTCTGGGAACAGGGATGCCACCAGATCCCCAAGCAATGGCTCAAGCGTGCATGGTGCCGAGTCTGCTTAGGCCAGGCTTTGCGATGCTGTTTGCTGGAGCCCCTCTCACAGCTGTGGAGACTGCCATGACCCACCCCCTGCGTTGAGGACAATCCCTCCCCCTGGTGCAGACACAGGTGGCTCTGCTGCTGCCTACCTTCTGCAGGTAGAGAATCATCCCCTTCAGGATGGCATGGAAGGGCTTCCAGCCGCGCTTCCCTCGGGGTGCTGCCGGGGAGGAGAGAGCAGCTCAGACAACATCCTCAGCAACTAGTGGGGGGAAGGCAACCCCCATCCTCCTCCAGCCAGCCCTGCTACGATGCACGTCACCCCACCCCCGGGACGGGCAGCACGCCAGGCCTGTCCCCGCACACCTGAGCCCGTGCAGGCCTCGTGGCTGGCAGATGGTGCTGCTGGCAGGGGGCCGCCTGCCGCCTCCCGGGGACAGCCACAGCGACAGCGCCGCTGCACTCCCGCCTCGATGCTTGTGCTCGGCTGCACCGCTGCCTCCCTGTTCAGGGAGGGGGACGAGGCGGTGCTGCCTGCCAGGTAATGCTGGCTTTGGAAGGCGGTTGCATCTAATCAGATCTAGGCGGCATTAGATGGCCAGGGCTTAGAGGGGATTTTATTGGGAATACAGTGAACGTGCCTAGCAGTGCCCAACCAACAGCAGCCTGCTGTGTGCCTTGTTTATCACAGCACAGGACACCTTCCTTCATTCCCGCAATCCTGTGGCATGGGTGCAGCCCCCGGGGATCCCACCCCACCCCATCTCCCTGTCTGCACTTTTCCCAGTGCTATGGGCAGGGGCTGCAGTGCCCACCTGCTTGGCCTCTGCCCAGCCCTGAAGGTGGGGGCAAATGGGCAAGGAGAAGCTTTCCAGCTCCCCAGCCTGAAGGCTGAATTATGCCTGGCACATAAAGACAGTTAGGGCACAGGGGGCTGATGCTGGAGCCCGGCACAATGCTACCTGCTACCATCAGATATCACACGGTTACTCCTGCCCTGCTTCCCCTTTAGTTTCTGGAGTTCACTGGTGCCCTCTTGCCCCAAGTGCCTCCCATGGGTTCCCCAGGCACCTACTTTTCTTGCAGTCAGGATCAGCGTGGATCTTGCGGACTAGCAGCCCATGCTTGTAGGTGGTAATGCTGGAGTCCTGAGAGAAGTCCAGAAAGGGGTTACTGCAGCTGCTGATGCGCTTGATGGACTTTGGGTTGGGGTCTGCCAGTTCCGAGAGGGATTTTCTCAGCTCCTCCTCATCTCTGACAATCACAATTTGGGTGGGGAAAGAGTTTGTTACCTTGCTGGGGACAGCAAATGCCAAGGCCAGGAGCAGCAGGTCAAGATGAGCAGTCTCCCACCACCACTGATGAGCATCCCAAACCCAGCCACGCCCATGTGCCCCTGTCCCTCTAGGCAGTGGAGGTGTTGCCTGACCCCTCGAAAGACAGGGCATTGCGGTATCTGCTGCCGATTCAGGGTGGGGACCTGCCTAGCCCTGGGAGTGAGAAGCCTTTTTTTTGGCCAGGGATAGGATTGACACCTGCCAGGCTGATAAGCCAGGAGCCATGGAGGAGCAGCACCCCAGGGCTTGGCACTACCACAGCCCCCCAGCCCATGTTATACAGGCTTAGAGGTCCCCAGCTGGCCAGAATTTAAAAAAGGGTTTAGAATGGAACTCACCCACAAAGACAGACCCAGGCTGTGATCCCCACACATTCAGGGTGGCAGCCAGACTATGGGACCCAGAGCCAGAAGCGAAGAGGTGCAGGGGGACTGTAGTGGGAAGGCCTCAGGCAATACCAGCCGAGGGCAGGAGCAGGTGTGGGCACTATGTAGGCAGCCCTCTCCCACCAGGTCACGGCCCCTCACTGTGGGCAGGCTGCACCAGTGCTGCTTCCCCCAGCCCGCATGAAGATGTGGGAGCCCAGAACTGCTGCCTCCCCCCTCCCTCAGCCGCTCGCTGCTAATTAAACCCCTCAGCATCTGCCGGCGTCTCCATGGCAGCGGCCGAGTGCATCGCTCAGCGCTGGGTACCACTGGGCTGATTAATCCCTGCAGCGCAGGCGCTGCCGCTTCTGCTGCTGGAGATGGCAGCTGTGGGCGAGGGTGCGGGCACCCTGTGGGGCCCCGGCATAGCCACAGCACCCCCAGAGCCTGCCTACTCCCAACACAGGCATGGCCACCAAGGCACAAATCCACACCAAAGCCACAGGAAGCTGGCCTCAGCTGGCTTTCTCTCGGCATGCTGGGGAAGGTGTTGAGGGCAGCCAGGGTTACATTGCCTGCAGCCCCAGCCCAGTCCATCCCAAGCTCCCCCTCCTTCCCAAATCATCACAGGGGCACCTGCACTGCAGCATCACGGCTCGTACAGCCTCTGGGGCTTGGTGGCCTCACTGCCCGCCCAACGCCGGGCAGCAGCACCTCCCGCAGGGGTACTTACATGGCCCACTGCAGCTTCTCGTTCTTGATGGAGCCGTACAGTGCCTGCAGAGAGAAGAGCGGGGAGGTCAGCAGGAGAGTGGTGCCAAGACTGGAGGCTGCTCCAGGGGACAGAGAAGGCACACCAGACTGGCTCAGGGGTACTGGAGGTTAAGGTAACCCCCTGTCAGTTTGTCCTGATCCAGCCCTGTGCAGGCTGGACTACCGACATCACTGTAGCGACTGCTTCTCCTGGGCACCGTGGGACCTGCAATCCCAAGCACACCCTAGACATGGTGCTGGGGATGGGCCTGGCATTTTCTCCTTTCTTTCCCTTCCACTCTACCTACCTGTGACAGTGTCACAGCATTAGCAGCATAATGGTGAGGCAGACCAAACACTTCCAAGTCCTTGGGAGAGCTATTTCTCCCCACTACAAGGTGTTCCAGGCTGGTAAAAGCAACAATGCTCAGGAGGTCTGAGTCCAAGGAGAGCAAGCCTTTGGGATGGACTTTGGTGGTGCCTGCCTTCACTCTGCTCAGTGGGACCTCAGTCTGTTCCAGGGCCCTCAGAAGCTCCATGACACAACAGACCATAGCCAGCAACCCTGCTGCTGTGAGCCACCTGCCCTGGGCTGGCAGAGATGGGCTCATGGCAGCACCCAGCACTCCCCAGCAATGCACTGTTCTTGCAGGAACACGCTTCAGCTTTGGGACAGACTTCAGCACGGCACTGGCCCAGCACTGGCAGAGACCCTGGTGTGCTGTCATTCATGAGGCCCCCAGAGGAGACCTTGTGGCAGGGTGGGCTATTGCTGCTTGGAGTGGCTGTGGCCTGGCCCTACCCCTGCCCATCACCCTCAAGCACCTTTCCTTCCTTGTGGACCCAAATACCACTAAGCTGAACAAAGCAGGACCCATTGCCTGTACTTCAGCACAGGAACAAGACGAGCCTGCCTGCAGCAGGATGCTCCAGGGCCCTGCTCCCAAGTGTTTGTCTGGGCCAAGCTGGGTATAAGCCAGCAATGCTCAGCACAGCTCTGCAATTGGGGAGGCTCCAGAGAGGATTTCAACACAGTGCTCACAGAGGGCTTCGGAGCACGATCTGGAAGGCATCATCCTCGGAGGAAAATAATCGAGTCTCGCACAGGCTGTTCATGCAGCTGTCAACATCCATCACTGGGCCGGAGACTGCTGCTGAGAGATCTGCTGGTGGCTGAGAAAGTACAACTGGAGGCGTGTAGGAGCCCAGGAATGCTGGCCAGCACACAGGGCCCAGCGGTGTCTGGAGAAGGGACATCCATCACTCCTGAGAAGCGCAACAGCCAGGACAGTGCAGGAACCCAGCTCCTCCCGCACTTTCCCGCTGGGGAAATGCTGGCATAGCACCAGTTTGTTTCTCAGAGGAGGGAAGGGATCGCCCCAGTCTAGCAGGCAGAAAGTAGGGTTCAGTTGTCTCCTGGGAAGGCAGGATGCCTATAGAGGGGTTATGGCCTCAGAGTCTGAGAGAAGATTTGACCCCAGTCCAATTCATGCAGCCCCAGTGCTGGAGGGACAGGATGCTGAATTGTGAGCAGGAGGTACACATCAGTGGGCTGGCAGCAAGAGGAGAAGAGAGACTTAAAGAAGAGCCTGGAGGGAAAAAACAATCCAAAGCCTTGCAGAACATAACCTGGAAGCGGAGCGGGGGGATAAACAGGCATCTCAGAGCAATGTAGATGATAAGGAGTCACCATGGGAAACAGAAGGGAAGGGATCTTACTCACTGCCACGGATGCAGCTGAAAAATGCTGAGAACGAACGGACACAAAAAGGAGACTAAAAAAAAATGGCACAGAGAAGGGGGGACTGGAAATAGCAGAAAAGCACACTGTAAAGAGAGGGCAGAATGGGACACATGGCTTGGCTTCTACCCGGCTCAGTGGCAATACAGAGAGGTGTCATCTCCTTATCCCCAAGGAAAGGAGCTGGGATTTTGGAGGGCAGGGCAAGGTGCAACACTGGAGAGGACCCCAGCCCCATGCAGGGCTTGCAGGAGGATTGCGGCTAAATGCGGAGTGAATGAACTGATACCAGGAGAGGCTCGAGGAGTAATTCTGGATGGCACATTGCCGGATAACAGCCTGGCAGAGTACTGTGTTACAAAAACCTGGGCTCTGTTGGCGAGTAATTCAAAGGCTCAGCAGCCTTGTGGCTTTCAAAAGCTCCAGCTGCCCTGCTACAAGCCCTGACAGCACACTGCCAAGTACCCCACCTCAGAGTCAGGGAGCAGGGGTTTCTCAGCACTCCTGTGCAGGGGGACAGTGAGAGGCAAACAGGGAGACTGTGGAGATTGAGAGAGCAATGCAAAGCTTTATGTCTACGCTTAAATCCTGCCAAGACTCTGCTTGGCTAAATGCCAACCCCAGCCAACACCGATCTCAGAACAAAGCTGGTGGACTCAACCCAGGCCTTAGCTGAGAAGATGCACTTCAGCATTGTGGTTGCTGTTCTGGTACTGTACTAGAACAACTGCCTGTCAGTCCACTAAACTCTGGGCTCTTTGGTGCACAGACTGTTTCTGCTGGGGAAGCACAGGATATGTAGGCTCTTGAAGCCTAACTCACAGCCACGTCAGCAGAGACCAGAGACACCAAACCAGCAGGTCCCTCTCTCCAGCTTCTCTTTGCTCTGTGGTTTGATTCCCCTTGGGCCGAAAGGACAGCATCTCTTGGTATCTTTGAGCTTGCAAGCACTGCCCAAAAGAAAGTTGGGCACTGGCCAAATGCCACTATGGACGACCCCAAACATGGTTGGGGTTTTTTGCCATTGTTGGGTTATGAGCTCACTGCTGCAGCACGCCAGGCCAGCCAGCCAGCTCTGCCCTAGACATGCGCAACGCTGAAGAGACCTAGGAATATACTGTCCCAGTGGGATTTCTAACTGAATCAACAACATCTTTCTTTGGTGCCCTCCCTCCCAAAAGCAGGCTGAGAGGATGTCCCAGAGTGCTGCTATAGGAAATGTCTCAAGGAGAGGTGAGGGACTGCACTGGGCAAGAGGCAGGTGGCTCTGATGCTCCAGCACAGCCATAGTGCCAGCTCTACGGAGGACAGCCCTACGTGAGCAGTGCAGGGAGAAGACAGACCCCTTCAACTCCTCAGCTCAGACCACACCAGAGGCAAGATCCAGTGCTGGTCTGGGGAGCTGGGTAACAAGCTGGCCTGGACACAGCTTTGGCACAGGATTGTACCAACGGCTGTAGCCCGGCACTCAAGTAACAGATGAAGGTTAACGCAGGAATTCAGGAATCCAGATAAAGGGTTTAACCCTATCTGGAGTGCCTCTTTTATGCATCATAACTCTTACAGACACATCCCCTTTCCACCCTGCTAGTTCCTATGCTAAACAACACAGTGCTCAGCTCTCTGCACAGCAAGATGCCCTGTGCATGTCAAGGCTCCCCTTCCTCTTGCCAGACCTTTGCCCAGCGACGGGTGCTTCAAGACAGACTTCACAGCCACCAAACACCCTCCCTGCAGTCATTCTCCCTCTCTCTGTGCCTGGCAGCATTTCAGTATGAGAGCTCAATTGCTGGCTTTCCCTAACTTTTCCCTAGCAAAGTATCTTCCCTACACCCAGCCACAAAGCTCTGTGACATCCCCCAGGCACACAGACACCCTCAGCTGCGCAGATAGAAACAGCAGGGGCAGATCCAGGCTGTATGTGAGATGGAACTGTTCCTATGTTGGGTCACTAATTCACCTTGGCAGTCCCTCCTGCACCTCCACTGCCTGCACAGCACGCACAACCCATGATCAAGAACAACTCATCACCTGGCACACACCAGCCCCTGCTGCGCACACCCCATGTGTCCCTCCTCCCCTCCACTGCAGAGGGGCTCCAGTGTGCACAGAGCAGAGTGACTTGGGAACAGACTTTTTTCCCTGTAGAATGGGCTGCCACGGGGACAGTGTCCTGTGCATCAGCTTCTACCCTGCTACAGTCAGTAATAGACAGCTGACTACTCCAGCCCCACACTTTCGACTCAGTAACATCATAAGCTGCACCAACCTCTTCCAAAATATTTAAAACATTCCTTGCCCAGGCAACTATTACTCCCAGGACAGCAGACCCCTCTATCCCTCACAGTACAGCCCCACAGCGCGGGAAGCAGAGACCGAGCATCTCCCAACTGCATGTTTCCAACCGAGTGCGTCACAACTTAATGCTGCCCCCAGACCGTACTGCGCTATGACAGCATCGCGGCTTGGCACGGCCCCGATGGCCCCACCGGGCTTGTTTTGGCCACGAGGGCAGCCCAGGTAGCTCGGGGGTACCCCTGCCTGCTCTGCCACAACCTGCCTGAGAGAAGGGGGCCGATGTAGACTATTCTCCCGCTGCTACACCGGAGGCAGGCACCCGACCGAGGCAGGACGCACCCAGACACAGCCTGTTCGCTTCTTCCCACCCAAGACCGATGCGGACCAGCCTAACACCTCCAAAACGGATGCCAGCTCACAGCGAGCAAGCTCTTGGCAGTAAAAAGCCCTTTATTGTCCAGGCTGCCACTCCTTCCTCTCCAGCTCCGCTCGGCTGGGAGCTGGGGCTGCGGCGCTGTCCCTCCGCGCTGCCTTGCGGCTCTCCCCGCCGCCCAGCTGGGTGCCAGTCTGCCCCGGCCGGGCTGGCACGGCACGGCACGGCGCAGCTCAACCCTTGGCAGGGAGCCCGCAGAGCTTGTCACTTATGCTAAGCTGGAGGGCTGGTCCCAGCGGTACGGCTCTGTCCTGGATTCCTCTTGCAGCGATGTTTTCGAGCAAGCGTTGCTGTCAGACCACGGTAAGCGGCGCAATGTCACCCAGGTCTTGCCGCGCTCCCGCAACCCCTGTGCTCGGGGTCGGATGCGGGAAGGACGGCAGGGCTGGGGACGGGGATCCTCGGGTGGAGGGGGGTTGGTGGGGGCCCGGCTCCACAGAAAGCAGGCAGGAGAGGAAGATGGGGCTGGCTGATCCCTACATTCATGGGGCTGAGGCTCTTGCAGCGGGCGGGACGGCGGCTGCCCGGGCACGTCCGCCTGCCCATGTCCCC